AGTGAAAATTAAACAGTAAAGCAAATAACACTAATTATGAGCTTTTTGAATTGAGACAGTTCTGGTTTGCAAGTATTTCTGTACTTTTCTAAATTACTTGGGAGACAATTGAAATACAAAACATTATTTTTAGAAGATTCTGAACAGGAAAAGAATAGTGATTTAAATTGAAGACAGCCTGGAGGAGTGGAGTGCACTTGTAACCGAGCACTTATGAGGGCAGGGGGAACATGTCATGATTTCAAGGTCAATCTGACCTCAAACTGGGTAATTTACACATAAATGTGGCAAGATCCTGTATATATCTATCTATATATATAATATATATAATATATAATACATTATATATATGCATGAATAGGAAGAAGGGAAAATGAGGCAAGAGGAGAAGCATTGAAGGCTGTCACATGGTAGGAAGTCCTAGAGCAAGAGGAACAAATGTAAATATCAAAACTCCTTGTGTCCTGGCATGGTGTTTCATGCTTTCAATCCCAGTACTGGGGAGGCTGAGGAAGGTGGATCTCTGTGAGTTTGATGTCATCCTGTATACATAGTGAGTTCTAGACCCACCAGAGCTACATAGTGAGACTGTCTAAAACAAAGCAAAACAACAAACCAAAACAAAACTCCCTGGGTCAGTGGGTAAAAGCACTTGCACGGAAAGCCTGGTAGCCTGAATTTGATCCCTGGAACTCATGGTGGAAGGGAAAAATCAGACTACTGAAACTTGCCCTCTGACTTACACATGTGTGTTCATACACACAAACATTTCATGCACACATATACACATACACACAATAACAATAGTAAATTAATTAAATAAAAAATTAAAAAGTATAGCTCTTCAAATAATACTGGCTATTGCCATTGCACTTAGTTTCCCACCATAACTTTGATGGTAAGACCCTATTGCTAAAGACATTACATACCTGAGTCTTAGAATCAAGCTGGAACTGACTCTAAAGCTACATCGTTGTTAGGTTGCTTTCATAGTACTAGAAAGTGCTATGCATGTTACTGACAGTAAAACTCAATCATCAACCTTACCGAACCATGAACTCTGAACTCTGGAAGCTGTAATAGCAACTAGTTTGGCAAAATATGCCCAATGGTGTAATAGTGGCATAAATATGGTGGGAGTAACCAACCACCTTCCAATTGGATTTAAGACTTGCTTCACAACAGGGAGTCCATATCGAATACTGTCACCAGGGCAAGAACCTGTGTCTAGACAAATCACAGTCCACAGGGACGAACTTACAAAATAGACATAGTATTAAATGAACTCCTGATGACTTATTGTTATACCCACAGATTAGTACATTTCTCAACTCTCACCAGACAGGTTCTTCTTGCAGCAGATGGCCACAATGCAGAGACCCACAAATGGTCAATGTACAGAAAATAAGAGACTGCAGAGTGCTCAGCCATAAATAGGACATCTGTAATCATGCCTCCTCCTAAGGCTCAGGGATCACTGAGGAAGGGGGATGGGGGAGAGATTGTAAGAGCCAGAGGTGGTAGATGAAGACAAGGAAACCATATTGTCTTGGCACCACAGGACGGCTGTCCATAGGTATCCATAGTGCTTATGACAGACTGTGCATAAATACCCAGACAGGACCCTAGCAAAGATGAGAAGGTGAACAGGAAGCCCCAGCCCTAGCTGAGGATCTATTGTCAACTGATAACTGTTGGCAGAGGGAGAATCAGTTTTCCTTACTGGTGTCACACCTGGTAGGTTGACCAGACTCCAGGGCATTGACTTATACCCAGGAACGTGTGGGAGACATGGAACAGAATCAATAGGCCTTTAAAAAAAAAACAAAAAAAATTAAAATAAATAATTTCAAAATTAAAAATAAAAGAATCTAAAACTGGAGGACATGAAATTGTGGGGCAGCAGGTAGTAGGGAAAGGGTCAAGAGGGACAGGGGGTCTGAATATAATCAAAACACATTGTATGAAATTCTAGAATCAAAAACAAAATTTAGAAAAACTCCCTTGCATGTTTCAAAATGAAATTCACTATGGTTTTGCTCATGAAATGCTTTAGTAAACTATAGTACAATTGTTGGACAAACTCAACATTGAAATAAAGCAATTTATGTAGAATTTGATGTTAGTTAGAGGATAGTTAAGCAGCATATCCAATACTTAGAAGTATATTCATTATTCTGAGGGCTATTTCTCTACAATACATATACATTCCATAAAAATAGTTATGTGTCTGCTAAAGTACCGTCCAAGCATTTGTGTTTATGCCCATAGGTTAAGTTATTATAGCAGCCACTGTTTAGATGTTCTTGCTTCTTGCTGTTTGTGTGTTTATAGTAGATGGAATCCTACTGAAATGGGCCAACAGCCCATGGAAAACAGATGGTGCTGAGACCTGGAAGTTCAGTGCCTTGCCACAATGGGAGGAAGATCATCCCACACCTATCACCCCCTCCAAGGCTTAGGGACTTTTGTGGGAGAGGTTGGCAGAAAGAACGTAAGAGCCTGAGGAAGGGGTGGAGTGTTACCTGGAAGTGTCCTCTGATCACTATGCCAGCAAGCTATAGTCACACCTCCTTCCCACACTCATCAAGGAGTCAAGGGGGGAGTCAGTTACTCCTCCCACCCAATCAGTCAACCTTAGCTACACGTGGAGGAGCTAAGGATATATAAGCCAGCCAAGAACGTCATGAAGCACCTCTTTTGCCATTTTGTGTGGCTATCGGGAAGTTAAAGTATATTTGTGTGTGGACTTTCCAGCACAGCCATAAATGGGGGCGTGGCAGCCTTCTGTAAATAGACCCCCACCCTATGCTCTGTTAGCAAGTCCTAGGATTTTCTTAAAAATAAGAAAAAAAAGCTAAATGGAAACTTTTATTATTCCACCAAAGTTGACCCCATGTTGGTAAATCTTTTGGTCTTTGATTTCTTATTCCTATTTCCCCCCTTTAAACTTCATTGTGTATATATATATATATATATATATATATATATATATATATCCCCCACAGGTACCTCATTTATTAGGGTTCTACCCTGTAGGAACAACTGAAACCCTTTTTTCTCACAGGGGGAAGGAAATAATTAGCTATTTTAGTAACTGTACATTTTGTATACTTTTAAGCAGCTCTTAAATATTACAAAAAAAATAAACATATGGAGACTACAATGTAGTACCCTATTTACAGTATAGCTGAAGATTATATTTAAAATAATCAAGTTTGAATGTACATAATTGTTAGTGCATTGACTATACCCTGTCCAAAGGGAACAAGAGCCCATCCTTGCCCCAAACAAAAGATCTATACATAATGTCCAACAATTATTAAACAGAAACCACAGACACCTGGTTTGTTTCAGTTTTGTTGAAGAGCTCACAGGAAGGGACCACCATTCAATAAAATGCATTTAGCAGTTTTTATAATCCTAAAACAAGACAGGGTTATGTTTGACTTTTTTTAAACCACATTAAAAAAAAATAGTAGGACTGAGTATATTTTAGATAATGCCAATATTCTTTCTGGAGACATGGGACCATTTTCTTGGGATTAAGTTATTAAAATGTGGACTGTATACTTTTTAGATAATAGAAGAATGATCATTTGCTTGAATATTGTTGCTAAGAGCATAAATATTGAGTCTTCTAAAGCCCACATTAGCAATCTCCACATCTTTCACATGTGACTACTGTCCCAGTCAGGAGAAACTGGATGGTTCCTGTGGGTCATCTGCCTTAATCCCTAATGATGAGAAAGCATTCCCTCAACCTCTCCAGAGGAACAAGCTTGCACACACTTCTCACTTCCCTTTCTACTGAAACCTTTGTTGGAGGGACATATGCATGTTATTAAAAATTAAGTTCAAAACACTCAAAATAATTCTGTATTAGAAACTTGATTCTAGCTGGGTGTGGTGGTGCACACCTTTAATCCCAGCACTTGGGAGGCAGAGGCAGGTGGATCTCTGTGAGTTCAAGGCCAACCTGGTCCACATAGCGAGTTCCAGGCTAGCTGTTCTGTTTCAAAAAAAAGAAAAAAATGAAAAAAAGAAAAGAAAAGAAACTTTTTTCTATTGTAAGTCTCTTTTTGGAAGTCATACTGGGCTGGCTAAAAGCTCAAACTTCATGGTTATTGACATTTAGGAAGCAGAATTCTCCAGCTAGTTCAAACTGGAGATTTAGTTACTACAACACTGACTCCTGGTTGGTTGTTTAGGCTCAGTAGGGTCTACTCCTTTTCCTCTGGCCGAATTTGCTCCTGGATTCTGTGGTTCATTCTTTGGCAGCTTTTTAGCTATTGCCATGAGTATTTCATTTACATTCATTGATGTCTTAGCTGATGTCTCCATGAATAATAAACTGTTGTCATCATAGGATTGTGCTTCCTGGAAGTCAACAGCTCTTTTATTTGCTAGATCAGCCTTATTTCCTGATGAAGCTATTATAATATTAGGACTTGCTTGCCTCTGGAGTTCTTTAACCCAGTTTTTTGCTCTTGCAAAGGACTCCTCATTGGTGATGTCATACACAACTGTGGCTGCCTGTGCTCCTTGGTAGTACATTGGTGCTAGGCTGTGGTAGTGCTCTTGGCCAGCTGTGTCCCATATTTCAAACTTTACTGTTGAGTCATCAAGACATACAGTCTGGGTTAGAAAGGTTAGAAAAGCAGCCCCAGTGGTACTCTCCTGAGATTCATGGAACTGGCCCTTCACAAAGCAAAGCACCAGGCTTGACTTGTTAGCAGCAGACTCTCCTAGAAGTACCAGTTCGAACTGGCATATTTTATTTCGTGTTTGGCCCATTGGGTTTTGTTGCTCTTCAATTAGCCATGTCCAAGTTTCAAAGAAGTCCCTAACTGCAGATTCCTAAATAAACTTCCAGGATGCAAGGTATTAATTTTTTTCTTTCTGGAGGAGACACCTTTAATCCCAGCACTCAGGAGGCATAGGCAGGTGTATCTTCTTCAGTTCCAGGCCAGACATGGCTGCACAGTGAGACCCTGGGGCCTTCAAGTTATTCCTGGAAAAATGTGTTAAAAATTGCCTGTCTTTGGGACAATAATAATTTAAGGAAGTTATCTACCAAATTGGTTAGTACTGTTTAGTTTTTGTCAAGTTGATACAAACCCAGACATACCTGGGAAGAGGTAGCTTAACTGAGGAATTGCATCCACCAGACTGGCCTGTGGGCGTGTGTGGGGCAGTTCCCTGATTGCTAATTGATGTAGGAGGGCGCATTCTGCTGTGGGTAGTGCCAGCCCTGGGCAGGTGGGCCTGGGAAGTATTCAAAAAGTAGCTGAGCAAGCCAGAGGAAGCAAGCTAATAAAGAGTGTTCCTCCATCTTCCTCTCTTTGCTTCAGTTACTGCTTTGAGTTCCTGTCCTGGCTTCCTTGATGATGGATGCCACCTGTAAACTGAAATAAATCTTTTCTTCTCCTGGCTTCTATTGATTAAGGTATTTATCAAAGCAATAGAGAAACCAAACTAGAATAGTATTAAACTAATTGCATTATAAAACCTAGGTTATTATTTATACTGATTAGGCTAATACATTTGTTCACATTACAATTGGTTCAACAAAACTGCTAATCCTAAGTACGTACATTTTCTTTTAAAAAATTACATTTTATTTATTTTGTATATGGGTGTTTTTGTGCACATGCCGTGATGTGGGAGTAGAGGTCAGAGGACAACTTTCAGGAGTTGGTTCTCTCTCTCAACCATGTGGGTACTGATAATCAAACTCAAGTCATCAGGCTCAGTGACAAACACCTTTTACCCACTGAGCCATCTTGCCTGTATGTACATTTCCTATGTCTGTCTTACTCTTGAAATTAACAATTATTCATATGTCCCAAGTGTGTTTAGTATATTATTTCTTTACCTAATTTTTATTACTCTAAAGTAATATGTAAATGTCCTTGTGCTTCCAGATATCAAATTTCTTGTGATACAAAAATAAAATAGCTCATTTATAAATGTGCATGTTCATCCTGACTCATTACATGCAATTGGTCTTTGTTGAGAAACTCTTCTGTTTATCTGATTCTTTGCAAAAGTAGGAAAAACAGGCTCTTCTAGCAGAAACAACAAATAAACAAAACAACTCTTCATAAGACATGTTTTCCAGTTATAGTAGCCTGGTCTCACAGAAGCTAGAGTTATGACCCAGTGGTGTACACATAACATAAACACAAAAGTTTAGTAATTAGGTTTGAGTTAATCTTAAAGTTCCAGCAGCATGGTGCATAATTAAGCAAAAGGTCATTACCCACAGTGGAGAGTCTCTCACAGAACACTGAGCTGCTAGCAATGGAAATGGACTTGACTTGACTGAAGCCTGCAAATCAGTCCCAGAAACCATTCAAGGAGTCCTGGATTCAGTTAAGGCCAGTTTAATCCCATAAAAATGTTTCTAAAAACCCAGAGAAACTGGAAAAATTGGTTAGAAGAAAATATTATTAGCATTAGGCTAGACATGCACATCCAGTTCAAATTGAAAAGAAAAATGCCTGGTCAATCTCCCTCATTTAATTATTTTCCTTAAATATTGGCCAGAAATTATCCTGTAGAATGTATAAATATGCTTCTACATTATGTAAGATTTGAGCATATGCATATATTTATATGCATGTATTGAAATGGGTCATTTATACATAAACCCTTATGTCTAAGTCAAAACACCCCTCACAGTGGTCTATTTGTCCCTGGTTTCAATTGTAGGCATGTGACTAAGGCAGACCAGTCAAAATATCTAATTGCCAGCTGGTAATTGGTTCAAGGAGTTAACATGTGACTCATATTAAATCAATTAAAAACCCATTCATGAACTAGGACAAGAAGACAAGGAAAGAAATAAAGGCATGATCCTTTTAAGTTGAGAATTGTATATATGGACTTGGGCTGCCAGAGCCAGAGTCCCTCTTAATTCTAGAAAGACTCTGTCTCAGGGAAAATAAATCACTGAAGAAAGAAAGAGATGTAGAATGAATAGAAGTGGTGGGGAGAGAGAAAGGAAGGCACGATAGAAGCCTCAAGTCTCTAATTTTCTTTTGCTTAAGGTAATTTCAGACCTGTCATTTTCAGCCCAATGTCCCGATAAATATTGATATTTTTTTCAGTTAAGGCCATTATTGCATATATCAGATGAATAATTTTTGGAGATGCTAAAATCAGAAAAATATATTGAAAAATATTTTCAATTTAGGTCACGAGAAAGGAGTGTGTTTTCAAAAAAATAGTGAAAAGGAATAATGGAAATAGAGATGAACTTGAGGAAGACAACGAGAATGTAGTAAGTAGATTTAGGGGTGTGGTTTCACATCCATTTGCTGTGTTAATAAATCACCCAGAAGACACTACTAGAAACTTCATGATTGGATTTTTCCATCAGTAAAATATATATCTCAGTCTGTGGAGTTTGCTATAATAGCCATATAGAATTAAATTACTTGAGAGAGGCATTCTCATTTGTATGTCCAAAATACACAAACTTTATTACAGAAAATAAGTTCAATATTTATTAAACATAGTTTCTCCAACTATGGTTTGGCATTAGATAAAACATCTTAATAACACAATAAACATGTGACTTTTATTATCATCAAGTTTGAGGACATTTGCTTCAATGATGACACAGAACTTAACCATAACCTGGTTTTATCTGCTCCCTCATACTTCTTGGGAAGCCGAAGAGAAAGAATCTGTCAAGACACTCACATTCACAAGGCTAGTTTCTAAGGTTTCTATGAAGTTGCTGAGGCAGATGAAAAGAGAATAAGATAATGAAGAATAATCCTTTTGTGCTTGCAAATGTGGGATGTCTCCTGTGCCAGAGGTTTCAGCAACACCAGCAGTTTTAAGGAATGACTGTGTTAGGGATGTAGGGAGGTAGACAGGAGCGTGAAAGGAGGATGTGTCTTTTTGCTGAGAAATGTTTGCTTTGTAATTAGCAAAGGACAAGTAAGTACTTTTGGAAGCTACCTTTGGGGGTCCAGAATTTAAATTTATGCTGATGCTCTTGGAGTTTCTCTCTAGGGAACCCTACTAATTGGCAGGGATCTCAGTTGGCTAGAGCAGGCTGAGAAGAAGCCAAGATCTTTGGATCATTTCTCCAAAGGTTCTGTTAACTCAAGCTCTGTTTCATGGCCACAAGCTGTACCTTTAACCCTATTTAGACATCTGAAAAACACATACTAGTGTATCCACATGGTAGCCACGGGGGGAGAGGTGATATATATATTTGGCTTGAAACCAGTATAAAAATGCCCTTTAAACATGTTAGTATGGTAAACTCTAATGATGACTGCAGTTACTGATGTTCTTATCATGACGATAGAGACTTTCATCATAGATATTTACTGTGAGAAAGCTGAGAAGTGGTTGCCATTACTTTATATAAGAGTATAACCATGATATTAAGATCTAGAATATGGAACTCATGATGGAAGGGGCTTCTGTCTTTTCCATTTCTTACTGCTGTATTCTGTATACCTCAGAATACCTATCATACAACTGGTACTTCAGTAAATTCTTGTCTAGTACGTGAGTGTATCTTGTTTTTTATTTTTTTCTTCTAGTCTTCCTGTGATGGTTAATCCTGATGATTGATCTGATATGATTTAGAATCATCATGATAACAATCCTTCAGGCAGGTGAAGGCGTTTCTAGATTTGGTTAGATGGGGTAGGAAGAACCACTCTTAATGTTGGCAGCATCATTCCAAGGACTGATGTCCTGGACTGAATGAAAAGGAGGAAGTGAGCTGAATACTAACATTCTCTTACTCTGGTTCCTGACTAAGGATGCAATGTGACCAGCTGCTTCCAGCTCCTGCTGCCAAGACTCTTCTGGTGATGGACTGTGTGTGGCCTCATACTGTGAGCCAAGATGAACCCTCTTTCTTTGAGTTGCTTTTGTCAGGTATTTTTTGCAGTAATGAGAAAAGTAAAGAACACACTTCCCTTTATAAGCAGGAAAGCACAACAGAAATGATATCCTAGACATCTGTGCAACTGTTGACCGACTGTGTTTTTATAAAGGAAGAGACAGTATCATAGTAAGAGACTGGCAAAAGCTAAGTAACCATTTTCATCTAAACAAAAACAAGAAAAAAATTTAATTTAGTAGTGATGTTGAGTCCTAAGCAAATACATTTTGTCCTAAACGAAAATATTTCAAATATACTTTTTCTAAGATTTAACTTAGCAATTATGAAACAATCTCTGATATTTGCCACTATAAAGGAGAGAATAATTACATATTAATTAATTAATGGTCTAAAATTGCCACTCCTGTCTGAATAGTGAACTTCTTCTTTGTCTCTTTATAGAAAAATTAAAAAGATCATTATTCATTCAAAAAAGTCTTTAGATGGCAAAAATGCTCACCATCCTCCCCTGCTTCCTGTTCTTGCATGGCACCTTGCAAAGTAACATTATGGTCACCCCCAGCAACAGGGACAGCTTATTTCATCACCTCTTGAATCAGGATTGGTTTCGTAACTAGCATAAACTAACAGAAGTTTGTGGAAGTAGAAGCCTGCCAGTTCTAAGCCTAGCCTCAAGAAGAACCACTTTCCTTTCTCCCTTGGGGAACTTTGTGGATCTTTTTTGACATCTTGATGATAGCAGAAGCGTAAACCAGTTTCCTCAATCCTTGGCCATCCAGTCACATGAGGAAGCCCAGCTAAAATGAAAATTGTTGAATGGGTCTCTCTGCCTAACTGTCCAGCTACAGATTGCTAAATGAATGGTTGTTGTTTTAAGTCTCTTTTTGAGGCTATTTGTTATGAGTAAAAACAATAGAAACAGCTCTAATATGGCATCTAAACAATGGCAAGATTATTGTTTAATTAGGGCCTGCTTTGTCCATAGTACAGCTGATACTCTCTTAAGTAACATGACCAGTGTGTGTTATATTAAAGAGGG